TGCCTCCCGTTCGAGAAGCGAGCGCTCGACAACCAGAGCCTCATGCTCACGTGTTACCACCGAAATCAACACACTATTAACATACCGATCCGGCATGCATAGACCGAATCACAACAACGGCCACAACAATACGTCGTTCTTGACTTTGCTATCACGACATTCCAATCAGTGATGGCACAACCACAAACGCACAAACGCTTTTCACACACGCTACAAGAGCACAAAACAACTCGTCAGAATATTCGGATCCATTTCATATGTACCACTCAGTGCACTGGCATGCAAAATCATCAACTCAATATTGGACACTGCTGAATACGAGCTTGCCACTAACATCTGGGATGAAGAATCATCCGATCTTGCAACCTAGCGACAATTATCTGTCTGTACAATCGCACCAAAGGTTGAGCTGCTCGTAACCGCCTCACCTGGCTGCAGCAACTCTTACGCAGCATATGTTCGATTCGAAAACACACGTCGGAATTCATCCAGACGGTAGTGCGCGATCCGGGCTTGTAAAGTAAATAGATAGATGCGCCTCATCAGTCATGTACAGAGCCGAGTGGTTTCTGTTCGTCTTTACAATACTGTCAAGTAAGACAGCCAGAAGAATCAAGACTTGACGCGGCGCAAATCAATCGATGGCGCAGCTTTGATTGCAAATTGTCTACACATCGTCAGATAAGTACAACAAAACAGGGACTACCAACCGAAGATGTGCTGAAAAAAGTGTTACTCAAGGTCAGCTGGTGACGCAGTTGAACTGCGAAGTGCACATTTGGGAATGTGCTGGTGCTGACTGGTTTTGTCATCGTAACATGATCACGCCGGAGATGCATGGCATCGATCCACGTGCCTCCCGTTCGAGAAGCGAGCGCTCGACAACCAGAGCCTCATGCTCACGTGTTACCACTGTCAACACACTATTAACATACCGATCCGGCATGCATAGACCGAATCACAACAACGGCCACAACAATACGTCGTTCTTGACTTTGCTATCACGACATTCCAATCAGTGATGGCACAACCACAAACGCACAACGCTTTTTACATACGCTACAAGAGCACAAAACAACTCGTCAGAATATTCGGATCCATTTCATATGTACCACTCAGTGCACTGGCATGCAAAATCATCAACTCAATATTGGACACTGCTGAATACGAGCTTGCCACTAACATCTGGGATGAAGAATCATCCGATCTTGCAACCTAGCGACAATTATCTGTCTGTACAATCGCACCAAAGGTTGAGCTGCTCGTAACCGCCTCACCTGGCTGCAGCAACTCTTACGCAGCATATGTTCGATTCGAAAACACACGTCGGAATGCATCCAGACGGTAGTGCGCGCTCCGGGCTTGTAAATCAAATAGATAGATGCGCCTCATCAGTCATGTACAGAGCCGAGTGGTTTCTGTTCGTCTTTACAATACTGTCAAGTAAGACAGCAAGAAGAATCAAGACTTGACGCGGCGCAAATCAATCGATAGCGCAGCTTTGATTGCAAATTGTCTACACATCGTCAGATAAGTACAACAAAACAGGGACTACCAACCGAAAATGTGCTGAAAAAAGTGTTACTCAAGGTCAGCTGGTGACGCAGTTGAACTGCGAAGTGCACATTTGGGAATGTGCTGGTGCTGACTGGTTTTGTCATCGTAACATGATCACGCCGGAGAGACATGGCATCGATCCACGTGCCTCCCGTTCGAGAAGCGAGCGCTCGACAACCAGAGCCTCATGCTCACGTGTTACCACTGTCAACACACTATTAACATACCGATCCGGCATGCATAGACCGAATCACAACAACGGCCACAACAATACGTCGTTCTTGACTTTGCTATCACGACATTCCAATCAGTGATGGCACAACCACAAACGCACAACGCTTTTTACATACGCTACAAGAGCACAAAACAACTCGTCAGAATATTCGGATCCATTTCATATGTACCACTCAGTGCACTGGCATGCAAAATCATCAACTCAATATTGGACACTGCTGAATACGAGCTTGCCACTAACATCTGGGATGAAGAATCATCCGATCTTGCAACCTAGCGACAATTATCTGTCTGTACAATCGCACCAAAGGTTGAGCTGCTCGTAACCGCCTCACCTGGCTGCAGCAACTCTTACGCAGCATATGTTCGATTCGAAAACACACGTCGGAATGCATCCAGACGGTAGTGCGCGCTCCGGGCTTGTAAATCAAATAGATAGATGCGCCTCATCAGTCATGTACAGAGCCGAGTGGTTTCTGTTCGTCTTTACAATACTGTCAAGTAAGACAGCAAGAAGAATCAAGACTTGACGCGGCGCAAATCAATCGATAGCGCAGCTTTGATTGCAAATTGTCTACACATCGTCAGATAAGTACAACAAAACAGGGACTACCAACCGAAAATGTGCTGAAAAAAGTGTTACTCAAGGTCAGCTGGTGACGCAGTTGAACTGCGAAGTGCACATTTGGGAATGTGCTGGTGCTGACTGGTTTTGTCATCGTAACATGATCACGCCGGAGAGACATGGCATCGATCCACGTGCCTCCCGTTCGAGAAGCGAGCGCTCGACAACCAGAGCCTCATGCTCACGTGTTACCACTGTCAACACACTATTAACATACCGATCCGGCATGCATAGACCGAATCACAACAACGGCCACAACAATACGTCGTTCTTGACTTTGCTATCACGACATTTCAATCAGTGATGGCACAACCACAAACGCACAACGCTTTTCACACACGCTACAAGAGCACAAAACAACTCGTCAGAATATTCGGATCCATTTCATATGTACCACTCAGTGCACTGGCATGCAAAATCATCAACTCAATATTGGACACTGCTGAATACGAGCTTGCCACTAACATCTGGGATGAAGAATCATCCGATCTTGCAACCTAGCGACAATTATCTGTCTGTACAATCGCACCAAAGGTTGAGCTGCTCGTAACCGCCTCACCTGGCTGCAGCAACTCTTACGCAGCATATGTTCGATTCGAAAACACACGTCGGAATTCATCCAGACGGTAGTGCGCGCTCCGGGCTTGTAAAGCAAATAGATAGATGCGCCTCATCAGTCATGTACAGAGCCGAGTGGTTTCTGTTCGTCTTTACAATACTGTCAAGTAAGACAGCAAGAAGAATCAAGACTTGACGCGGCGCAAATCAATCGATAGCACAGCTTTGATTGCAAATTGTCTACACATCGTCAGATAAGTACAACAAAACAGGGACTACCAACCGAAGATGTGCTGAAAAAGTGTTACTCAAGGTCAGCTGGTGACGCAGTTGAACTGCGAAGTGCACATTTGGGAATGTGCTGGTGCTGACTGGTTTTGTCATCGTAACATGATCACGCCGGAGAGACATGGCATCGATCCACGTGCCTCCCGTTCGAGAAGCGAGCGCTCGACAACCAGAGCCTCATGCTCACGTGTTACCACTGTCAACACACTATTAACATACCGATCCGGCATGCATAGACCGAATCACAACAACGGCCACAACAATACGTCGTTCTTGACTTTGCTATCACGACATTCCAATCAGTGATGGCACAACCACAAACGCACAACGCTTTTTACATACGCTACAAGAGCACAAAACAACTCGTCAGAATATTCGGATCCATTTCATATGTACCACTCAGTGCACTGGCATGCAAAATCATCAACTCAATATTGGACACTGCTGAATACGAGCTTGCCACTAACATCTGGGATGAAGAATCATCCGATCTTGCAACCTAGCGACAATTATCTGTCTGTACAATCGCACCAAAGGTTGAGCTGCTCGTAACCGCCTCACCTGGCTGCAGCAACTGTTACGCAGCATATGTTCGATTCGAAAACACACGTCGGAATGCATCCAGATGGTAGTGCGCGCTCCGGGCTTGTAAAGTAAATAGATAGATGCGCCTCATCAGTCATGTACAGAGCCGAGTGGTTTCTGTTCGTCTTTACAATACTGTCAAGTAAGACAGCAAGAAGAATCAAGACTTGACGCGGCGCAAATCAATCGATAGCGCAGCTTTGATTGCAAATTGTCTACACATCGTCAGATAAGTACAACAAAACAGGGACTACCAACCGAAGATGTGCTGAAAAAGTGTTACTCAAGGTCAGCTGGTGACGCAGTTGAACTGCGAAGTGCACATTTGGGAATGTGCTGGTGCTGACTGGTTTTGTCATCGTAACATGATCACGCCGGAGATGCATGGCATCGATCCACGTGCCTCCCGTTCGAGAAGCGAGCGCTCGACAACCAGAGCCTCATGCTCACGTGTTACCACTGTCAACACACTATTAACATACCGATCCGGCATGCATAGACCGAATCACAACAACGGCCACAACAATACGTCGTTCTTGACTTTGCTATCACGACATTCCAATCAGTGATGGCACAACCACAAACGCACAACGCTTTTACATACGCTACAAGAGCACAAAACAACTCGTCAGAATATTCGGATCCATTTCATATGTACCACTCAGTGCACTGGCATGCAAAATCATCAACTCAATATTGGACACTGCTGAATACGAGCTTGCCACTAACATCTGGGATGAAGAATCATCCGATCTTGCAACCTAGCGACAATTATCTGTCTGTACAATCGCACCAAAGGTTGAGCTGCTCGTAACCGCCTCACCTGGCTGCAGCAACTCTTACGCAGCATATGTTCGATTCGAAAACAAACGTCGGAATGCATCCAGACGGTAGTGCGCGCTCCGGGCTTGTAAATCAAATAGATAGATGCGCCTCATCAGTCATGTACAGAGCCGAGTGGTTTCTGTTCGTCTTTACAATACTGTCAAGTAAGACAGCAAGAAGAATCAAGACTTGACGCGGCGCAAATCAATCGATAGCGCAGCTTTGATTGCAAATTGTCTACACATCGTCAGATAAGTACAACAAAACAGGGACTACCAACCGAAAATGTGCTGAAAAAAGTGTTACTCAAGGTCAGCTGGTGACGCAGTTGAACTGCGAAGTGCACATTTGGGAATGTGCTGGTGCTGACTGGTTTTGTCATCGTAACATGATCACGCCGGAGAGACATGGCATCGATCCACGTGCCTCCCGTTCGAGAAGCGAGCGCTCGACAACCAGAGCCTCATGCTCACGTGTTGCCACTGTCAACACACTATTAACATACCGATCCGGCATGCATAGACCGAATCACAACAACGGCCACAACAATACGTCGTTCTTGACTTTGCTATCACGACATTCCAATCAGTGATGGCACAACCACAAACGCACAACGCTTTTTACATACGCTACAAGAGCACAAAACAACTCGTCAGAATATTCGGATCCATTTCATATGTACCACTCAGTGCACTGGCATGCAAAATCATCAACTCAATATTGGACACTGCTGAATACGAGCTTGCCACTAACATCTGGGATGAAGAATCATCCGATCTTGCAACCTAGCGACAATTATCTGTCTGTACAATCGCACCAAAGGTTGAGCTGCTCGTAACCGCCTCACCTGGCTGCAGCAACTGTTACGCAGCATATGTTCGATTCGAAAACACACGTCGGAATGCATCCAGACGGTAGTGCGCGCTCCGGGCTTGTAAATCAAATAGATAGATGCGCCTCATCAGTCATGTACAGAGCCGAGTGGTTTCTGTTCGTCTTTACAATACTGTCAAGTAAGACAGCCAGAAGAATCAAGACTTGACGCGGCGCAAATCAATCGATAGCGCAGCTTTGATTGCAAATTGTCTACACATCGTCAGATAAGTACAACAAAACAGGGACTACCAACCGAAAATGTGCTGAAAAAAGTGTTACTCAAGGTCAGCTGGTGACGCAGTTGAACTGCGAAGTGCACATTTGGGAATGTGCTGGTGCTGACTGGTTTTTTCATCGTAACATGATCACGCCGGAGAGACATGGCATCGATCCACGTGCTTCCGTTCGAGAAGCGAGCGCTCGACAACCAGAGCCTCATGCTCACGTGTTGCCACTGTCAACACACTATTAACATACCGATCCGGCATGCATAGACCGAATCACAACAACGGCCACAACAATACGTCGTTCTTGACTTTGCTATCACGACATTCCAATCAGTGATGGCACAACCACAAGCGCACAACGCTTTTCACACACGCTACAAGAGCACAAAACAACTCGTCAGAATATTCGGATCCATTTCATATATACCACTCAGTGCACTGGCATGCAAAATCATCAACTCAATATTGGACACTGCTGAATACGAGCTTGCCACTAACATCTGGGATGAAGAATCATCCGATCTTGCAACCTAGCGACAATTATCTGTCTGTACAATCGCACCAAAGGTTGAGCTGCTCGTAACCGCCTCACCTGGCTGCAGCAACTCTTACGCAGCATATGTTCGATTCGAAAACACACGTCGGAATTCATCCAGACGGTAGTGCGCGATCCGGGCTTGTAAATCAAATAGATAGATGCGCCTCATCAGTCATGTACAGAGCCGAGTGGATTCTGTTCGTCTTTACAATACTGTCAAGTAAGACAGCCAGAAGAATCAAGACTTGACGCGGCGCAAATCAATCGATGGCGCAGCTTTGATTGCAAATTGTCTACACATCGTCAGATAAGTACAACAAAACAGGGACTACCAACCGAAGATGTGCTGAAAAAAGTGTTACTCAAGGTCAGCTGGTGACGCAGTTGAACTGCGAAGTGCACATTTGGGAATGTGCTGGTGCTGACTGGTTTTGTCATCGTAACATGATCACGCCGGAGAGGCATGGCATCGATCCACGTGCCTCCCGTTCGAGAAGCGAGCGATCGACAACCAGAGCATCATGCTCACGTGTTACCGCTGTCAACACACTATTAACATACCGATCCGGCATGCATAGACCGAATCACAACAACGTCCACAACAATACGTCGTTCTTGACTTTGCTATCACGACATTCCAATCAGTGATGGCACAACCACAAACGCACAACGCTTTTGACATACGCTACAAGAGCACAAAACAACTCGTCAGAATATTCGGATCCATTTCATATATACCACTCAGTGCACTGGCATGCAAAATCATCAACTCAATATTGGACACTGCTGAATACGAGCTTGCCACTAACATCTGGGATGAAGAATCATCCGATCTTGCAACCTAGCGACAATTATCTGTCTGTACAATCGCACCAAAGGTTGAGCTGCTCGTAACCGCCTCACCTGGCTGCAGCAACTCTTACGCAGCATATGTTCGATTCGAAAACACACGTCGGAATTCATCCAGACGGTAGTGCGCGCTCCGGGCTTGTAAATCAAATAGATAGATGCGCCTCATCAGTCATGTACAGAGCCGAGTGGTTTCTGTTCGTCTTTACAATACTGTCAAGTAAGACAGCCAGAAGAATCAAGACTTGACGCGGCGCAAATCAATCGATAGCGCAGCTTTGATTGCAAATTGTCTACACATCGTCAGATAAGTACAACAAAACAGGGACTACCAACCGAAAATGTGCTGAAAAAAAGTGTTACTCAAGGTCAGCTGGTGACGCAGTTGAACTGCGAAGTGCACATTTGGGAATGTGCTGGTGCTGACTGGTTTTTTCATCGTAACATGATCACGCCGGAGAGACATGGCATCGATCCACGTGCTTCCGTTCGAGAAGCGAGCGCTCGACAACCAGAGCCTCATGCTCACGTGTTGCCACTGTCAACACACTATTAACATACCGATCCGGCATGCATAGACCGAATCACAACAACGGCCACAACAATACGTCGTTCTTGACTTTGCTATCACGACATTCCAATCAGTGATGGCACAACCACAAGCGCACAACGCTTTTCACACACGCTACAAGAGCACAAAACAACTCGTCAGAATATTCGGATCCATTTCATATATACCACTCAGTGCACTGGCATGCAAAATCATCAACTCAATATTGGACACTGCTGAATACGAGCTTGCCACTAACATCTGGGATGAAGAATCATCCGATCTTGCAACCTAGCGACAATTATCTGTCTGTACAATCGCACCAAAGGTTGAGCTGCTCGTAACCGCCTCACCTGGCTGCAGCAACTCTTACGCAGCATATGTTCGATTCGAAAACACACGTCGGAATGCATCCAGACGGTAGTGCGCGATCCGGGCTTGTAAATCAAATAGATAGATGCGCCTCATCAGTCATGTACAGAGCCGAGTGGATTCTGTTCGTCTTTACAATACTGTCAAGTAAGACAGCCAGAAGAATCAAGACTTGACGCGGCGCAAATCAATCGATGGCGCAGCTTTGATTGCAAATTGTCTACACATCGTCAGATAAGTACAACAAAACAGGGACTACCAACCGAAGATGTGCTGAAAAAAGTGTTACTCAAGGTCAGCTGGTGACGCAGTTGAACTGCGAAGTGCACATTTGGGAATGTGCTGGTGCTGACTGGTTTTGTCATCGTAACATGATCACGCCGGAGAGGCATGGCATCGATCCACGTGCCTCCCGTTCGAGAAGCGAGCGATCGACAACCAGAGCATCATGCTCACGTGTTACCGCTGTCAACACACTATTAACATACCGATCCGGCATGCATAGACCGAATCACAACAACGTCCACAACAATACGTCGTTCTTGACTTTGCTATCACGACATTCCAATCAGTGATGGCACAACCACAACCGCACAACGCTTTTGACATACGCTACAAGAGCACAAAACAACTCGTCAGAATATTCGGATCCATTTCATATGTACCACTCAGTGCACTGGCATGCAAAATCATCAACTCAATATTGGACACTGCTGAATACGAGCTTGCCACTAACATCTGGGATGAAGAATCATCCGATCTTGCAACCTAGCGACAATTATCTGTCTGTACAATCGCACCAAAGGTTGAGCTGCTCGTAACCGCCTCACCTGGCTGCAGCAACTCTTACGCAGCATATGTTCGATTCGAAAACACACGTCGGAATTCATCCAGACGGTAGTGCGCGATCCGGGCTTGTAAATCAAATAGATAGATGCGCCTCATCAGTCATGTACAGAGCCGAGTGGATTCTGTTCGTCTTTACAATACTGTCAAGTAAGACAGCAAGAAGAATCAAGACTTGACGCGGCGCAAATCAATCGATGGCGCAGCTTTGATTGCAAATTGTCTACACATCGTCAGATAAGTACAACAAAACAGGGACTACCAACCGAAGATGTGCTGAAAAAAGTGTTACTCAAGGTCAGCTGGTGACGCAGTTGAACTGCGAAGTGCACATTTGGGAATGTGCTGGTGCTGACTGGTTTTGTCATCGTAACATGATCACGCCGGAGAGGCATGGCATCGATCCACGTGCCTCCCGTTCGAGAAGCGAGCGATCGACAACCAGAGCATCATGCTCACGTGTTACCGCTGTCAACACACTATTAACATACCGATCCGGCATGCATAGACCGAATCACAACAACGTCCACAACAATACGTCGTTCTTGACTTTGCTATCACGACATTCCAATCAGTGATGGCACAACCACAACCACAAACGCACAACGCTTTTGACATACGCTACAAGAGCACAAAACAACTCGTCAGAATATTCGGATCCATTTCATATGTACCACTCAGTGCACTGGCATGCAAAATCATCAACTCAATATTGGACACTGCTGAATACGAGCTTGCCACTAACATCTGGGATGAAGAATCATCCGATCTTGCAACCTAGCGACAATTATCTGTCTGTACAATCGCAACAAAGGTTGAGCTGCTCGTAACCGCCTCACCTGGCTGCAGCAACTCTTACGCAGCATATGTTCGATTTGAAAACACACGTCGGAATTCATCCAGACGGTAGTGCGCGATCCGGGCTTGTAAATCAAATAGATAGATGCGCCTCATCAGTCATGTACAGAGCCGAGTGGTTTCCGTTCGTCTTTACAATACTGTCAAGTAAGACAGCAAGAAGAATCAAGACTTGACGCGGCGCAAATCAATCGATAGCGCAGCTTTGATTGCAAATTGTCTACACATCGTCAGATAAGTACAACAAAACAGGGACTACCAACCGAAGATGTGCTGAAAAAAGTGTTACTCAAGGTCAGCTGGTGACGCAGTTGAACTGCGAAGTGCACATTTGGGAATGTGCTGGTGCTGACTGGTTTTGTCATCGTAACATGATCACGCCGGAGATGCATGGCATCGATCCACGTGCCTCCCGTTCGAGAAGCGAGCGCTCGACAACCAGAGCCTCATGCTCACGTGTTATCACTGTCAACACACTATTAACATACCGATCCGGCATGCATAGACCGAATCACAACAACGGCCACAACAATACGTCGTTCTTGACTTTGCTATCACGACATTCCAATCAGTGATGGCACAACCACAAACGCACAAACGCTTTTTACATACGCTACAAGAGCACAAAACAACTCGTCAGAATATTCGGATCCATTTCATATGTACCACTCAGTGCACTGGCATGCAAAATCATCAACTCAATATTGGACACTGCTGAATACGAGCTTGCCACTAACATCTGGGATGAAGAATCATCCGATCTTGCAACCTAGCGACAATTATCTGTCTGTACAATCGCACCAAAGGTTGAGCTGCTCGTAACCGCCTCACCTGGCTGCAGCAACTCTTACGCAGCATATGTTCGATTCGAAAACACACGTCGGAATTCATCCAGACGGTAGTGCGCGATCCGGGCTTGTAAAGTAAATAGATAGATGCGCCTCATCAGTCATGTACAGAGCCGAGTGGTTTCTGTTCGTCTTTACAATACTGTCAAGTAAGACAGCAAGAAGAATCAAGACTTGACGCGGCGCAAATCAATCGATAGCGCAGCTTTGATTGCAAATTGTCTACACATCGTCAGATAAGTACAACAAAACAGGGACTACCAACCAAAGATGTGCTGAAAAAAGTGTTACTCAAGGTCAGCTGGTGACGCAGTTGAACTGCGAAGTGCACATTTGGGAATGTGCTGGTGCTGACTGGTTTTGTCATCGTAACATGATCACGCCGGAGATGCATGGCATCGATCCACGTGCCTCCCGTTCGAGAAGCGAGCGCTCGACAACCAGAGCCTCATGCTCACGTGTTACCACTGTCAACACACTATTAACATACCGATCCGGCATGCATAGACCGAATCACAACAACGGCCGCAACAATACGTCGTTCTTGACTTTGCTATCACGACATTCGAATCAGTGATGGCACAACCACAAACGCACAACGCTTTTTACATACGCTACAAGAGCACAAAACAACTCGTCAGAATATTCGGATCCATTTCATATGTACCACTCAGTGCACTGGCATGCAAAATCATCAACTCAATATTGGACACTGCTGAATACGAGCTTGCCACTAACATCTGGGATGAAGAATCATCCGATCTTGCAACCTAGCGACAATTATCTGTCTGTACAATCGCACCAAAGGTTGAGCTGCTCGTAACCGCCTCACCTGGCTGCAGCAACTCTTACGCAGCATATGTTCGATTCGAAAACACACGTCGGAATTCATCCAGACGGTAGTGCGCGCTCCGGGCTTGTAAATCAAATAGATAGATGCGCCTCATCAGTCATGTACAGAGCCGAGTGGTTTCTGTTCGTCTTTACAATACTGTCAAGTAAGACAGCCAGAAGAATCAAGACTTGACGCGGCGCAAATCAATCGATGGCGCAGCTTTGATTGCAAATTGTCTACACATCGTCAGATAAGTACAACAAAACAGGGACTACCAACCGAAACTGTGCTGAAAAAAGTGTTACTCAAGGTCAGCTGGTGACGCAGTTGAACTGCGAAGTGCACATTTGGGAATGTGCTGGTGCTGACTGGTTTTGTCATCGTAACATGATCACGCCGGAGATGCATGGCATCGATCCACGTGCCTCCCGTTCGAGAAGCGAGCGCTCGACAACCAGAGCCTCATGCTCACGTGTTACCACTGTCAACACACTATTAACATACCGATCCGGCATGCATAGACCGAATCACAACAACGGCCACAACAATACGTCGTTCTTGACTTTGCTATCACGACATTCCAATCAGTGATGGCACAACCACAAACGCACACAACGCTTTTTACATACGCTACAAGAGCACAAAACAACTCGTCAGAATATTCGGATCCATTTCATATGTACCACTCAGTGCACTGGCATGCAAAATCATCAACTCAATATTGGACACTGCTGAATACGAGCTTGCCACTAACATCTGGGATGAAGAATCATCCGATCTTGCAACCTAGCGACAATTATCTGTCTGTACAATCGCACCAAAGGTTGAGCTGCTCGTAACCGCCTCACCTGGCTGCAGCAACTGTTACGCAGCATATGTTCGATTCGAAAACACACGTCGGAATGCATCCAGACGGTAGTGCGCGCTCCGGGCTTGTAAATCAAATAGTTAGATGCGCCTCATCAGTCATGTACAGAGCCGAGTGGTTTCTGTTCGTCTTTACAATACTGTCAAGTAAGACAGCAAGAAGAATCAAGACTTGACGCGGCGCAAATCAATCGATAGCGCAGCTTTGATTGCAAATTGTCTACACATCGTCAGATAAGTACAACAAAACAGGGACTACCAACCGAAAATGTGCTGAAAAAAGTGTTACTCAAGGTCAGCTGGTGACGCAGTTGAACTGCGAAGTGCACATTTGGGAATGTGCTGGTGCTGACTGGTTTTGTCATCGTAACATGATCACGCCGGAGATGCATGGCATCGATCCACGTGCCTCCCGTTCGAGAAGCGAGCGCTCGACAACCAGAGCCTCATGCTCACGTGTTGCCACTGTCAACACACTATTAACATACCGATCCGGCATGCATAGACCGAATCACAACAACGGCCACAACAATACGTCGTTCTTGACTTTGCTATCACGACATTCCAATCAGTGATGGCACAACCACAAACGCACAACGCTTTTTACATACGCTACAAGAGCACAAAACAACTCGTCAGAATATTCGGATCCATTTCATATGTACCACTCAGTGCACTGGCATGCAAAATCATCAACTCAATATTGGACACTGCTGAATACGAGCTTGCCACTAACATCTGGGATGAAGAATCATCCGATCTTGCAACCTAGCGACAATTATCTGTCTGTACAATCGCACCAAAGGTTGAGCTGCTCGTAACCGCCTCACCTGGCTGCAGCAACTCTTACGCAGCATATGTTCGATTCGAAAACACACGTCGGAATGCATCCAGACGGTAGTGCGCGATCCGGGCTTGTAAAGTAAATAGATAGATGCGCCTCATCAGTCATGTACAGAGCCGAGTGGTTTCTGTTCGTCTTTACAATACTGTCAAGTAAGACAGCCAGAAGAATCAAGACTTGACGCGGCGCAAATCAATCGATGGCGCAGCTTTGATTGCAAATTGTCTACACATCGTCAGATAAGTACAACAAAACAGGGACTACCAACCGAAACTGTGCTGAAAAAAGTGTTACTCAAGGTCAGCTGGTGACGCAGTTGAACTGCGAAGTGCACATTTGGGAATGTGCTGGTGCTGACTGGTTTTGTCATCGTAACATGATCACGCCGGAGATGCATGGCATCGATCCACGTGCCTCCCGTTCGAGAAGCGAGCGCTCGACAACCAGAGCCTCATGCTCACGTGTTACCACTGTCAACACACTATTAACATACCGATCCGGCATGCATAGACTGAATCACAACAACGGCCACAACAATACGTCGTTCTTGACTTTGCTATCACGACATTCCAATCAGTGATGGCACAACCACAAACGCACAAACGCTTTTTACATACGCTACAAGAGCACAAAACAACTCGTCAGAATATTCGGATCCATTTCATATGTACCACTCAGTGCACTGGCATGCAAAATCATCAACTCAATATTGGACACTGCTGAATACGAGCTTGCCACTAATATCTGGGATGAAGAATCATCCGATCTTGCAACCTAGCGACAATTATCTGTCTGTACAATCGCACCAAAGGTTGAGCTGCTCGTAACCGCCTCACCTGGCTGCAGCAACTCTTACGCAGCATATGTTCGATTCGAAAACACACGTCGGAATGCATCCAGATGGTAGTGCGCGCTCCGGGCTTGTAAAGTAAATAGATAGATGCGCCTCATCAGTCATGTACAGAGCCGAGTGGTTTCTGTTCGTCTTTACAATACTGTCAAGTAAGACAGCCAGAAGAATCAAGACTTGACGCGGCGCAAATCAATCGATAGCGCAGCTTTGATTGCAAATTGTCTACACATCGTCAGATAAGTACAACAAAACAGGGACTACCAACCGAAGATGTGCTGAAAAAAGTGTTACTCAAGGTCAGCTGGTGACGCAGTTGAACTGCGAAGTGCACATTTGGGAATGTGCTGGTGCTGACTGGTTTTGTCATCGTAACATGATCACGCCGGAGATGCATGGCATCGATCCACGTGCCTCCCGTTCGAGAAGCGAGCGCTCGACAACCAGAGCCTCATGCTCACGTGTTACCACTGTCAACACACTATTAACATACCGATCCGGCATGCATAGACCGAATCACAACAACGGCCACAACAATACGTCGTTCTTGACTTTGCTATCACGACATTCCAATCAGTGATGGCACAACCACAAACGCACAACGCTTTTTACATACGCTACAAGAGCACAAAACAACTCGTCAGAATATTCGGATCCATTTCATATGTACCACTCAGTGCACTGGCATGCAAAATCATCAACTCAATATTGGACACTGCTGAATACGAGCTTGCTGTTAGAATTAACTAGGTTGTGGAGCTGATGCTGAGAAGAAGATGGCTTACGGCCGGGGATGAAAACCGAAAAGTGAGTTGTATTCAAATTGTTTCTAGCTTCGAAAACGAATGGCTAGTAGTAGCCGGTGGCTCTCAGCCACCTATTTCGTGCCCTGTCTCCACCGCTTTCTGTTTTGCCTATCCCTGGGTAATTACGTCTCGTAAATACCTTTCGTAAAAACTCTGCTGTGTCATATGCAGAATGAAAACGATTGCGTGGGTGGGGGACGTAACTGCGGGCGGGTCACAGTTCTGGTGAACCCCAAACACCAGGTCGTGAGTGTCAGTCACAATTAACTTGTTCACGGCGGGGATCGAACCCGCACTCACCCGCGTGGAATCCCCCTTCCCAAACGACTGAGCCAATCCGATGACTTGTCGTTTCGCTAACATCCCACAATATAAACCTGCCAAAGAACAATACAACTAATGCAAATATGCAATATACACCCTGCACAAGTCGCCGCATCATCACTCGCTAACACTCTCCCTTGATGTGCGTGCGACGTGTGACCCCTACACCGCCATGCACAGACCCGTGATGAACTTGCTGTGCTTGTCTCTTGGAAGTGCTTTGGTGAATCCATCCGCGACCATTTCTTCTGTCGGCTTGAACTCTAGCGCGATAACTGCACTTGCAACCTTTTCACGCAAAAAGTGAAACTTGATGTCGATGTGCTTCGTGCGCGAGTGGTACACAGGATTCTTGGCCAGCGCGATGCATCCTTGATTGTCTTGAAAAATCGTCGTCGCGTTCTTGGCACAGTAGTTCAGGTCCTTGAGCAGACCTCGAAGCCAAATTGCTTCCTGCGTCGCGCTGTACAGACTCATGTACTCTGCTTCCGTACTTGAGGTCGCGACCGTTGGTTGACGCTTCGAGTTCCACGATATCACGCTTCCGTTCAGGAAGAAAACGTATCCTGTTGTCGAACGCCGCGTGTCGAGGTCGCCAGCCCAGTTTGCATCCGCAAATCCAATAAGCTCTCCCTTGTTGATGCCGCTGAACACGATGCTTAAGTCTTGAGTCGTCTTGAGATACTTGAGAATCCGCTTTGCTGCTGTCCAATGCGACTTGTCGTAGCGCTCGCAAAACTTCGCAACTTCGCCAACCGCATGCGCAATGTCCGGTCGTGTACATGTGGCGATGTACATTAAAGCGCCCACCAGCTCACGGTATGGGTACTTTGGTACAAACGCTTCCTCTTGACCCATCTTGATCAGCTTCGAATTACTGTCCGCCGGCGTGTGCATGTCCTTGCAGTTCTCAACGCCGAACTTCTCCGAAAGTCGCTTGATGTACGCCTTCTGGTTCATCTTGATCGTTCCATCTTCGCGCTTGCGATGAATCTCGATCCCGAGGCAGTACTTGAGATCTCCAAGATCTTTAATGCTGAAATCTTCCATCAATGAGTTCTTGATACTTGCGATGTGCTCCTTCGTCTTGCAGAAAATCATCAAGTCGTCCACGTAGATCACGATGATGCTGTACTCCTCTCTTGTCACTCGAACGAACACACACGGGTCCGCTGTACTGCTCTTGAATCCTTGATCAACCAAGTGCTGACTCAACTTGTTGTTCCACTGCCGCGCCGCTTGCTTCGTCCCGTATAGCGCCTTCTGCAGCAAACACTTCTTATTCGGGCTTCCTTCATCTTCAAAACCGTCAGGTTGGTCCATGTAGATCTCCTCTTCCACTTCGCCGTAGAGAAACGCTGTGTCGACATCAACGTTTTCTGCTTCCAGGTCTTCGGCTGCAGCGATCGCCAACACTGTGTTGATAGATTCCTTGCGCGCCACTGGTGCGAAGGTCTCGTTATAGTCGATGCCAGGACGCTGCGTGAACCCTTTCGCAACCAAGCGTGCCTTGAACTTGATGATCTCGCCACTTGGATCGCGTTTAATCTTGAAGACCCACTTGCAGCCGACGGCCTTCTTGCCCGGTGGCATGTCCATTAGCTTCCATGTGCTGTGTTCTTCAAGCGACTTCATCTCACTCTTCATTGCCTGGAGCCACTGCTCCTTGTAGCCGCTCTTCATCACTTCTCGATAGCTGGACGCTTGTTCCCCATCTTCTTCAGCCGAGAAACAGTAGAAAGAGTCGAAGTCACCTTCGTAGTCGTCCAAATTGAAGCGACCGCGACGATGGCTTGGAAATTCTTGTTCGTAGCGAACCACGCCGCGCTTCTTTCGAACCGGTCGCACCATCCACTCTTCTTCTCCATTTCTTCCGGGTGTGCTGGATGCGCGCGTAGGAATGGTGTCGCTTGGTCGAACACTTGGTCCGTGATGAGAGCTGTTCTGCGCTCGAAGTGGTGGGGGTGCGCAGCTCTTCTTCGGTCACCGGCGCTGGTATGTCTTCATCATCGGTTAGCGACGCCTCCACACTTTCATCTTCTTCAATGACATCGAAGACCTGCGTGTCTCTGCTTTTCGATGCTTTCGTGACAGAATGCTCAGCGAACGTGACGCTTCTTGAAATCACGATCGAGCCATCGTCCGCGTTGAGAAGCCGATACGCCTTTTGGTCCTTCTCATAGCCGAGAAAGAAACATCGCACGCCTGAGTCGTCCAGCTTCTTTCTCTTCTCCTTCGCCACATGCGCATAGCATTGCGCACCAAACACGCGCATGTGATCGATGCGCGGAACCTTCTTGAACACCATTTCGTGTGGGCTTGAGTTCTTGTTCGACGCGTTCGGCAGAATGTTTCTGATGTCTGCCGCTGTCATTAGTGCCTCGCACCAATAGGACTTGTCGAGGCCGCTTTCCTTGAGCATACAGCGCGTCATCTCCACCAGCGTGCGGTTCATCCGCTCCGCCATCCCGTTCTGCTCTGGATTGTACGGAACCGTGAACTCTTGCTTAATGAACTTTGCCTTGCAAAAGCTGTTCATCGTTTCGTTCCGGTATTCGCCGCCGTTGTCACTTCGCAACACCTTTATCTTCGTTCCAGATGCTGTCTTGACATCTTGGTAAAACCGCTTGAACGCACTCGCAACGTCGCTCTTCTTTCGCAACGGATAGACCGTTACATACCTGCTCTTCATCATGATGAAGGTTACGGCGTAACTGAAACCAGACTTGGACGCTGGCGTGATAGGTCCGAGAACGTCGGAGCACACCACCACGTCGGAACGCGAACTCTCCCTGGTTTCAGCGTCTTCTTCACTTGTCTTGAATGACTTGCGCACTTGCTTTGACGTTGCGCATACGTCACACGCAACGTTCGTCTTCATCGTTGCGCCCTTGATCCTTCCGTCCTTGACCATGGCATTCAGCGTACCATACGACACGTGACCCAATCTTCTATGCCATAGCTCTGTATCGTCTTCGGCCATGTGGCACTCCGTACCACAGTCAGCATTGAGATACAGGAGGAACCCCTGCTTCCTTCCTGTTGCGACGGGTGTGCCGCCACGCTTGACCACGCACTCGTTGCGCGTTATCTCCACTGTCATGCCGCGCGCTGCCGCAGCCGTGAGCGAAAACAGGTTCTTGGACAAATCTTGAACGTGAAGTGTGTTCTCAAGGCGAGCGTCGATCCACGCATGTCCTGTCCAGACGCGCAGCTTCACTGTCCCATGTCCAATGACATTCAGCTTCACGTCGCTCTTTGCGCTTGAAATGCTTCGCGCATGATGCACTTCTTCGTACTCTTCGAACGCATCTCGATCCTTGCACATGTGTGCTGACGCGCCACTGTCCATGACCCAGCTGTTGCTCGCGAAACCTTCGCTGGCATGAAACGCGACATTCGACTGGTCATGCTGTTGCTCCCTTGGCCCTCGACCGGAGCGACAATCTCTGGCGTAGTGTCCGACCTTGCCACAGTTGTAGCAGGTCCCTGATGGTCCTTTCGCGCGCCGTCCTTGTTGCTTCTTCGGGTACTGCTTACCCTTCCTCTTGCCTGCGTAGAGCGCCGTTGCATCTTCTACTCGTGCTCCCTCATTCTGGCGCACTTCTTCGGCGATCAACTTGCTCACGAGGTCACTGAAACTGAAGCTTGCGACGGACATGCGGAATGCCTGTACCAAGCTCTCGAAGCTTGAAGGTAGACTCCGCAACAGTACTGCG